CAAAGACAATCTGTAAAATTCGTTAGGGTCGATCTACGCACACCAGTGTTTAGCCATGGACACCTGTATGTGGCACTATCCAGGTACACATCTTCTAATCGTATAAGTGTCATTCTTACTGAAAATGGGTCAAATTACACAATGAATATCGTTTACCTCGAAGTTCTGTTGTAGGACTTTCTATCTTATTACAAATAAATGGTACCATTTCATTACAAACTTATCTCTATTGAAGACGAAGAATTAAAATAATCAATGCTTTGATTAATTATGTGATTTAATATTTGTAGAATTGATGTGAAATAGCAAGAGATCAGAAAAGATTAAATAAAAGTACATTGCATCAATGGGGACATGATAATAAGGTAATTAAGTCTTGCATTCTTGTAATAAAATATATTATTTTTAAATGTAATCAATTCTACTAAGATTTATTTTGTTCCTCTGTTTCTATATAATTAGGTGGTTGTGTATTCTCCCAACTTTATATTTACCGTATGTATTGATACATACACACTCAAGGAGGTGATTAAGAAGAAATACAATCACAAGCTGCAAGGCTAAACCATCCAATTAATATTTATGAATAAGACATACTATTTTAATATTCTTTGAATTTAATTCATATGAATGAATTTATATTTTTGGTCTACCTTCTTGATTTAATTATTACATGTTTATGATTATTAAAAATAATATTGCAGCAACCTATAATAACATGAACATTTTAATTATTCTATTTCTCTTATTATTATTTGTGTGTTTTTATTCTTATTATTACAATATTAGATCACATGTGCTAGTAAAAAAATATTTTGTTGTTGTAATATTGGTTAACTATTGCTAATTTTATTATTATTAACTTAATTTATAACTTTTATATTATATATAGACACATGGAATGTCCTCCTATCTATGTACGTCGTAGTATGCATTTGGCAGTATCAAGCATAATAAATAAATTTTAAAATGATTCTTTTGAAGATGGAACCCCAATCTTAGAGTTTGGGTTGGAAAAAAAAGTAAATTAGGTCGTATGCTTCAAAACTTAAAGAGAAACATGAGTGAAGATTATATTATGCAGAAAATGGCAGAGACTCTTCCTATCACCTAAGATTCTGCAAAAGAAAATTTTTTTAATCACGACTGACCAACCCGTGTAGTACTATTTATACAATTATTAGCAGAAGCGGAGTGCAATATCCATCTACTATGGATACAATTTGAGATAGAGAAAATGGATCCACAATCAAATGTCATAAACCATATAAAAAAGAAAGAATCATTATATTACGAACTGAAATAAAAAGGTTTCAGTCCGAATAATCCAATTTTGTTATATATTGTTGTTAATATGCTTCCATCTACATGCTCGATTGACTTCATTAGTTTAAGAATGACTTCCTAGATATGATAGAATTGGAGGATCTGTTAGAGAATATTGAAAATAATTTAATCTGTTTAAAAGCATTAGAAAACGTGAAAGCTCAACTAAAAAACAATGAACATCAAAACCTATGAAGTGATACTTTAAAAAAATGCAACCATCTAAATATAATTTTTTTTACAAGTTCTATTCATTCTTTTGGGGTTTGGTGGAATTTCAAATAGCAAAATTTATTATTTTTTTTACAACATTTGTGAACTTATTTTTATTATATAGATAGTTGCATTTTTGGGCTGTTTTTGTTTGAGATATTTACTACGTGGGTTGATTGAGTTTATAATTATGTTATGTTATTGAATTGAATGATGGTAATGGTGACAAATACATGATTCTTACAGATGAGAAAGATTTTATTGATTTCATTTATTACTTAAATATTGTAAATTTGATTTGGTTCTATTAGTATTTTTTTTTTCTTGAGGTATTTGTATATGTGTTGTTGCTTTGGGGAGTTTTTTGTTCTTTTTTATGACAGTTCCTATAATATGGGGGCAAGTCATTTTAAAAGAAGAATTTGTATGAATGTTTTCGGATCATTTTTTTTTTATTAATTTTCATAATTTCTTGTAATTTTTTTGTTTATTATATAGTGCTTTCAGGTACGAACAATAACTAATACATATATATATATATAGAGAGAGAGAGAGAGAGAGAGAGAGCGAGAGAGAGAGAGAAAGAGAATAAATAGTCATATTCTGTATATGAATATAAATAGATATGATAAAGAGAATTTTAATGTTAGTTAAACTCCTAAAATTTAGGAGTTGTTAGTTTTTAAATTTGTTTTAATTAAACATAACTACTATAAGTATTTTGGACAATGAAGATCTGGACTTAATATTAAACAAGATATTTGGATGTGCAAATACTTAAGAATAACAATCTTACAATGACTCTTTTATTAGTATCATTTCTCTTCTAAATGTATAAGAACTCATATCTATATCTATTTATAAAGAATTAAAGTCCAATTTATATTCTATTATAAGATACATGTTGATGGATTGAATTTTACGGTAAAATATATGTCATATTTGATTTTTTTTTTTGTATGCAACAATATCATAATATTATAGTACAAACAATAGTTTACAAATATTCAAGAATAACAATCTTACAATGAAACTCCACCACAAAGAAAAAAGAAAATGTTTAAAGAAGCCGAAAAGATACCTAAAAAAATGACTATTAGGTACTCAAAGAAGGCTATAATAGATCAATAATTAGGCTTAACAATAATTAGTATAAAATTTAGTCAAATAAATTACAAATATAAGATAAATTTTTATTAAAAATTATTATTTAAATATATTCATATGCACCACTCGCCGTAGCATTAAAAGTAACAATCACTCTCAAATCCTTTTCACTCTCTCTCCCTCCCACTCTCACTGTTTTCTCTTTGTTCTTATCTCTAGCTCTCCCACTCTCTCTTCAAGAATGTATAAATTTATTCATTTTTATCATCATGAGTTCACAATTTGTACCAGTCTATTCTATCATCTAATCCCATCTCATCCTAAAACCACTAAAAGGTTAGAACTAAATTGCCTTACAACTCTCTATAAAATGTCTAATAATCATATAATGTATTTCGTATTATAATTCTAAATATTAATAGGAACTTCATGTAAAATTGTCACTTGAGACTCCAATTTATGTTAGGCCGCCCTTGATAACTACTAATATTTAAATAATACAATAATATAGGTAAATATGTACACTATTATGAACATAATTAAACTTGAAAGAAGTGAGTATGTTTGGACAGAGAAAAAATAATTTGCAAAAATAATCACCTGGGGAAAAAATAATTTGATGTTTAGTCTTAGTACAAATTCAATTATAAATAAATTCCATGGTGTAAAAAACGTCAAATACCACTTTGATACATAAATCAGTGGATATTGTATTAAAAAAACATTCTTTTTCCGTTCATTTTTTGTCACTGTCTTTGTTTATGATGAAATTGTTTAAAAATTTGATACCACATGTGCCAGAATTTCAGTATATAAGATGCAGCCCCCTAAGCCTTCTACTTTCATCCCTAGAAAAAAGTTGTGATCATTACTCTTGAGAGTGGAACAAAGCAGAGAAACACAATATAGATGAGATTATGTCATTCGTCTTGAAAGTTTGAAATAAATTTTAGTTTTGACAAAATAAAAATTACAAAGAATTCAATGTAAACGACGAAATTACAAAGAATTCTCGAAACGAAATAATATTCTTCATCGTAACACCCGTTTACAATGTAATCGAAATGAATTTCCAAAAAAAAAAATCCTATTTTTTTAATTGAGCCAGATTTTCTAAAAAGGGTTATCGAAATTTGCATGTGAAAAGGGTTATCGAAGTTTGCATGTGTGGCGTTGTCCCCAAACCACTAAACATCTTTGTCCATGAGCTCCAAGCTTAGGCTATCGAGCAAGGTCGATGTTCCATGTACCCATGACATTTTTTCAATTAAAATTCAAAAGTGGTTAATCGGAATGAAATACACAACATGAACAATAGATAATTCAAAAACAAAAAAAATGGTTAATGTGTATTGTTTTTCCATTAAATTGAAATAAACAATCTCTCTCCTACGAAGAGATGCAATATATGCCAACTAAAATGATTCCCAACCTAAGAAATTAGTTCTTATCCTATTCTATACATCGAATAATTGATGTGCAAAAGAGCAACAAATTAAGCACCACGATCGCATGTTATACTTTCCACTGATTTATTAGGAAACTATATGACCCTGCAATTAGAAGATAAAAAAAAAAACAATTAGTATATGCCCCATTACAGCTAATTTCATATTTGAAAGTTCAACTAGGTAAAGAAAGAATAAAAGCAGTGAGGCAGGTAGGAAGAAATGATCATGGGACAATTGGTTAGACGACTGTTGAACTCCAAAAAATTATGTTACTCAGAACTAAATTATTTATTTAATTTGTTGATCTAATTCATCGTAATCATTAGATTACGAGCAAGTCTCAATGTCAGATAGAATCCATTATCAATCCAACAACTATAATAAATTCGGTCAATAAATTGGAAATTATAGGTTTTTTGAGGAAATCAAACGTAGCACACTTACTACAACTTACCAATTTACGTACAATATTCTTTACATTTGTTTTCGTCGTCCTTGTCATTTCTTGACTTTGGATGCTCTCAGGAAAAAAAAAGAAGCTATTCAAAAACTAGTTCCAAACATGTCGCATTTTCAGTGAATATGCTTGAGTTCTACTTATGATTGAATATATTTCTCCGTTGAACAAGCAGCTCAAGCACTTCTTTCTTTTCTTTTTTGATTCTAACTTTTATTTACTTCAATATAAGGATGACTCTTAAATATGTTTGACATAAAATTAGTTCGTTCACGTCTTGTTGAATGGTTGGAGTCAAATGATGGATCAAATTCTTGAACTCTTTATCATTAAGTTAGAATTTTAGGGAAGAATGAATATAGACTAAGGTCACCGCAAAACAAAGATTTATTTATGTACTTTCCTGAAAAGAAAAAGATGAAAATATAGATATACAGATATTTACCTCAAAGATAGTATTGTTGGTTGAAATCAATAACAGATTGCTGCTGAGGCAGAATACCAAGAGAACCATTTTCTCTCACTTGCCTTAGTTTCTCCGCAAAACCATGTTGGCATGAATCTACCAAAGAATTCCCATTATCATGAATATAATTATAAGCATCCGTATTAACCACTCCACCAAAATCCATCTTACCATTATTATTCCATCCAATAAAATCTGGTGCTGATTTGTGCGCCAGACCCTCTAGTAGTGGCACTTGACATTGGCTTTTATACAGTTTAAGTTCCTCATAAAGCTTCATGTACTCACCGAACGAACCGAGCACGGGATCTTTTTGCCGGCATAAAGCTTCCCATATGAGTGAATCTGATGCACGTTTCCGATCTTCTTCCTTGACATTCTTCACCATTTTTGTTAAATTGCTCACTCCAAACACCTTGTGGACGGCCTCAAATTCTCGAGTTTTATTCACCGGAAAAAAATTTGCTAATGTACAATCATCGGTGCACTTCTTTCTTTGATGCTTGCATGATGCACAAGCAGGCATGCCATTATTCCTTTGCATCTTAAATCAACTATATCAATTGAACAACAAAAACCAAATTCCTTTATTATTAGCCAGAAACATCAAAATATAAACCAAATCTATATAACATCAATTAATGAAAAATTAGGAAAGAATATGAGTAAAGAACACACCTTATATACTCTTGTTTCGAAAAGAACGAAAAGAGTGCCTATATAAAATAACACGACATCTCAAGATCCGTAGAGAATTGATGAAAAGGGTAGAGAGTGCACAAAAAGATTGCTACTCTAAAAAACAATTGATTTTTATGTATAGTTGATAAGGTTGTAGGTAGATCACATGAACAATAAAGTTTGAAGGTAATTATAGGATTGAGAATCGATAGTTATGGAAAGAGAGATCTGGCTAAGTATAGTAATTGCTATAAAATTACAGCATGTGTATGTAGGGAGAATATAGCGTGTAAAGAAAGTTTCTTATAAAATCAAAACTTGCATTGAAATTTAACGTAGGCCAATTATGTGGACTTTATTTATGGCGGTTAGAGTTCCAACACGAGGCAGAATGCAAAAGCCCAAGACGGTGAATGTACTGACTAATAGGTTTTGTTTTTGATAGGGTGTGGCCTTTTTTCTAAATGGATGAGGTGGCAATAGTTGTATGAGATATCGATTAAATTCATTTTCAGAAGAATGTGCGCGCGAGCCCATTGGCCATACTGTAAAGACAATTTCTGGACTCTTTGTCAAATTCATATTTAGTGAATTTCTATTATCTATNGAGGTGGCAATAGTTGTATGAGATATCGATTAAATTCATTTTCAGAAGAATGTGCGGCGAGCCCATTGGCCATACTGTAAAGACAATTTCTGGACTCTATCAAATTCATATTTAGTGAATTTCTATTATCTATGCTTACATTGTTTTTTTCTATGATTACATTTGAAGAATTGGTGAAAATACTCACATTTATAAAGGACTAGTAACGCACAACGTTGCAAGTGAAAAATTTAAATAATAATTTTTTTGTTGAATCTATGAAAAAATATTTTTTTTTATGTGTAATTAATGATAAATTTAGTATCAAAAAATTAATCTATATTTTATTTCTTATTAAACCTAATTATTGAAAAGAATTAAATATAATATATATTTGATCTTAGTATCCAATTTAATAATAATATGTATATAACAATATAATATAGATTTATCTTTGTTTCTTCATATGGATAGACATAGATATAAAAAATTTTATGTAAGTGTACTACTTATAAAAGAGTCCAATAGAATTTAAAAGTCAAATACTACTTATAAAAGAGTTCCAAATTAAGAACTTGAAAATCAAATTACGTATGAAAATAAAAAAAATATATGACGATATAAGAATATAATTAATTTTATAAAAATTATGCTAGTAATACACGACATGCATTGCACGTGAACATATTTAAATAATAATTTTTTTGTTAAACTTAGCAAAAATATAAATTATATGTGTAATTGAATTAAATAAATAAATTATGTGCTGGAGAATTAATTCTTATTTTAATTTTTACTAAACATAGTTATTAATCTATACATGTACTATATAGTAATTTAAGTTACCATTGTAATTAAAGACCTAAAGTTATAAAAATAAGTATAGCGAATGGCTAGAGACCTAATGCTATATGGTAAGTAGGGGCGTCCATGGGCCGGGCCGGGCCGGTTGGAGTAGGCTCGTAAATTTTTTTATTGGGCCAAGCCTGGGTAGGGTAGGGTAGGCTCAAGCCCTTATTTAGACAAATTATCATGCAAGCTGAGCCAAGTAGGGGTAGACTACTCCCAGCCTAACCCGCCACTCATTAGGTGGGCCTTGCAGGCCTGCTAGGGGGCATTTTTTTATATGTATATAATTTTATTTAAAAAAAAATTTAACTTAATATTTTTTTGAATTGTGTTTTTGAATTAAAAGTATCGTCAAAATGAACAAAAAGTAAATAATTAATAATTTTATTTATGAATATGAGAAGAACTTTTTTTTTTTTATTGAGCATTGAATGAACTTACTCTTTTTTTTTTTAGAAGCATATATTGCCACCAAACTTTTGAAGTTTCAATGGTCAACTCTTTTTTTTTTAAACAATTGGGTGGAAGGGTAAATGGGCTCCGCAGGCTCTTGGGCTGAGTTTTTGCCGGCAATCTCATGGGCCAGGTTTGAGGGTGAGCTCAAACCCTTTCTTGAAGAATATTGGGCTTATGTTTGGGCTCGAGCTCGGACTCGGACGAGCCAACTATTGAGTTGATCAGGTTTCGAGCTTATTTTTTTGGGCCGAATAATGGGACCCATGGGCCAACCCGACTCATGGATACCCCTAATTGTAAGAAGATTATTGATAGGACATGAAAAGAAAAATGGTGACATTAATAAGGATATGTGAGATATGATTGGCTTAACATTATTAAATAGGGATAAAATAGGATAAAAAAATTTCATGTATGTTAAAATTTATAAGTAGTATAGATATAAATAGATAGATAAAAGACATTTGGCTCTCTATGAGAGTCTTGCCCTCTCTCTTCACATGGTCAGTAAATGGATTCATGAACCATGTGAAGAAAAAGGTTCAATGGAGAAGCAATGGATGTCGAGGGTTGGATAAAATTCCCATCAAGTTGGATTTTACCTTCCTCAATGAGGTTTTGAACAAAATGCCTAAGAGCTATGCTATTAGGAGTGTTTGGTTTAAACATTAGGAAGGACCAAATTGGACAAACTCATCTATCCCATACCTATCCATTCGGCACTTGGACTAATTATAGTAATAATGTCTCGTTATTCCATGTTTGTTCAAGTATTAAGAAGTAATGAACCTTATATTTATCCCATCAAATATTTTTTTTGGATAAGTATTGAATGATGGTATAAACATTAAATTACTAAAGAACCCTTTAGATAACAAGTGATATTTATATCTTAGATATTCTTGAGTGTAAAAATGTATTTTGCACAAATTCTCCCCAACCGGAGTATTTAAACCAACCAAATAGGTGAGTTTATTAAATAGATTTTATGTGGGTTTAGAAACACTATTCATCTGGTCCGAAAGTATTTTTAGATGATAATACCAGACCCAAAATATGTATTCAATCATAGGTATAATTGGGATAAGGTGGGCCCAGACATATTTTTTCTAATCCCTTTTTTCTAATACCTAAAGCAAAGTGCTATGTCCAACATATAATGATTGAATTTTCAATCTTGGGGACATAGATAGAAGTCAATTGTCGACGCTGAACCAGACAGTCTTCCTAAACTAGAAGACTAAACAAAAGGAGCGATTTGCAGGAGGGGATCGGGAACGTCTCTATTTTCCTCCTAGTGCACTACTTCCTTCTAGTTTTATATCTAATATAGAAAGACTATCTCACCAGTAGCTATCGATGTTGTCTCACTCATCATTAAGTCATCAATCACTTTACAAGTTTTTCTTTGCTCGACTTTAGCCTCCATATAAGTATATGTATATGTCTCTTTATCGTCTGATATCTTTCTTTATCGTTTGCATCTATAAAGCATTAGAATACGTATGAGTGGGAATAATCTCCTTGCTATTGTAAAGCATTGTAGGTAAGAAAATAACAAATTGGACTAGAATGCTTACATTTGTTGGGTTCATTTGGCTCATACTAACTCTTAATCTTCCATATATGTAGGCTAATTAGAGGTTTTTATATTTGTAATCTATTTCTGTATGAAGGAAAAATTCAGGAAAACCTCCTATTGTATAATAACTTTTTATGTTCTTCTTATTGAACATATTGTAGTAACTATTAACATATTATATTTAATCATTCTAAGTATATAGAAAAATCAATGAGATTATGTCCTATAGTCATGTATGATGCGCACATAAAATCAATGAGTTTTATCATTGTTTGTGCAATGTTTGAGAAAAATACTTTGATCAGCCTCCCCAAATGAAGCTTAACACACAGGCAAAAAAATGTTAAAGAAATAGAGATAGGTTTGTAGTTGAATATGAGATAACAATACCAGTTTATGATTGGTTGGTTGAACATGTTCATTGATTGCACATATAGAATTCTCAATTAATTTGATCGAAGCACAATCTTCAATCAAAGCCTTTTTAAAATACATGTAGATAACAATGGCTAAATATACCTTTTTTAGTAAGTACATCCGCAAATTTGTTTGTCTCCCTTATGTTTTGCTTGACCTGCACTTCTCGAAATCTCTCAAGTAGCTTATCAAGAGCGCCTTGATATACTTTGAGGCCTATACTATAAATGAAGTTTTTTATTTTTTAATATTAGCTTAAAACTTTTGAAATTGTGATAATTAGTCAAGTTTTATACTGTAGATTTATACATATATCTTTTCAATTGATTANGAGCTCGGACTCGGACGAGCCAACTATTGAGTTGATCAGGTTTCGAGCTTATTTTTTTGGGCCGAATAATGGGACCCATGGGCCAACCCGACTCATGGATACCCCTAATTGTAAGAAGATTATTGATAGGACATGAAAAGAAAAATGGTGACATTAATAAGGATATGTGAGATATGATTGGCTTAACATTATTAAATAGGGATAAAATAGGATAAAAAAATTTCATGTATGTTAAAATTTATAAGTAGTATAGATATAAATAGATAGATAAAAGACATTTGGCTCTCTATGAGAGTCTTGCCCTCTCTCTTCACATGGTCAGTAAATGGATTCATGAACCATGTGAAGAAAAAGGTTCAATGGAGAAGCAATGGATGTCGAGGGTTGGATAAAATTCCCATCAAGTTGGATTTTACCTTCCTCAATGAGGTTTTGAACAAAATGCCTAAGAGCTATGCTATTAGGAGTGTTTGGTTTAAACATTAGGAAGGACCAAATTGGACAAACTCATCTATCCCATACCTATCCATTCGGCACTTGGACTAATTATAGTAATAATGTCTCGTTATTCCATGTTTGTTCAAGTATTAAGAAGTAATGAACCTTATATTTATCCCATCAAATATTTTTTTTGGATAAGTA